GGTGGTCGAGCTGTAGTGTCTGATAGGATAACACTGGTGGTGGAGAACACGCGGTTCATAGTATCGCGGGAACTGTTTGCCACCCGAAAGGATACAATGCTTTACTCGATGTTTCACTCGTCGCTATCACTGACCAAAGCCAACGCAAAGGGAGAGTTCGAGTTCGAGGGCTTCTCCGCCACTGTTTTCAAAGCCATTCTCGTGAGTAGTAGTAGTGGTGGTGGTAGTGGTGATGGTGATGCTGACCACATGATGTCTCACGTCTTTCTGTATGTGTCTCACTGTTAGGAGTACTTCAAGACAGGAGTCATCAAATGTCCCCCCAGTGTGACAGTGCCTGAACTGCGGGAGGCGTGCGACTACTTCCTCATCCCCTTCGACGCCTCGACTATTAAATGCCATAACTTGAGTGAGTGTTGGTGTTTGTGGTGTCTATATGTCTATATAAGTGTGTAACCCATACTCATACCTGTCCCCCACCCGACTCCGTGTCCCACAGGAGGACTACTTCATGAGCTGAGCAATGAAGGCGCCAGAAGTCAGTTCGAGAGGTTCCTCGAGGAACGCATTTTGCCAGAAATGGTGGTCTCCGCCCAAGTATGACATGATTTTGTCTATCAGTATACTGTATACCATATCAATGACCACTACTTCTCAATACATTTGTCTTGACTTTTGATATTATCTTCATTTTATAAAATAAGCCAAAAATGGTATAAATTGTTGAAAGAATTGATTATAAAAACAAATACTTCGGACGACTCATAGACTCATAGTATTGAGGATTGTATTGAGGATTGTATTGAGGATTGTATTGAAAATTGAATTCAATTCAAGTCTCCTATAGATTACGTGATTCTGTATTGAAATGATTTGCTTTGTTTGCATTGAAAGCGCGGCGACAGAGAGAGTCATATCGTTATTCTTCTCAACGACGATGTCGTCGATTGGGATGAAGAATATCCGCCGCAAACCGGTGAAGAGTACTCTCAAAGTATGTCAACTGAAAAATGTTTGCCTCTTATATGGCCCTAACTGTGCGCCAATAGAGTCAATACAATAGGGCTAACAGTGCTCTCGTCTAACTGTGTATTGTATTCTCGTTTTACTTTCGACAGTCATTTACTCGACTTCGATGTACCGGTTCTTCAAGTATATCGAAAACCGTGACGTTTCTAAACAAGTACTCAAAGAAAGGGGATTAAAGAAGATTAGACTCGGAATAGAAGGTATGCCTACTGTGCGGTACTGTACACCACCCGCCCCTACATATTATATAAAGTTATAATTAGTTGGAAAGTAATGCATAAATAATTTGTTGTCTCATTGATTGTCTCATTGATTGTCTCATTGATTGTCTCATTGATTGTCTCATTGATTGTCTCATTGATTGTCTCATTGATTGTGACAAAAAAGGATTTCCAACGCATAAGGAGAAGATCCGGCGCCGACCGGGAGATCGTCGGCCAGAAGTGATCTATAACTACGTTCAGAGGCCTTTCATCCGCATGTCGTGGGAGAAGGAAGAGGCGAAGTCACGTCACGTGGACTTCCAGTGCGTCCGATCGAAATCAATCACCAATTTGTCTGTCGATGGCGTCGAGAGTATCGAACAGAGTGTCAACGAAATGGTTATGAATGAAGCGGTCGGTGCTATCGGTGGCGATGGCGGCGCCGGTGGTGTCGCGGCTCTTCCTCCTCCACCGGCAACTCCCGGGCCTTTAGTCCAACAGTCGATGCCATCACATGACGAGTCCATAAGCAGTGCTCCAAATGCCGAATGAATATACATTTCGGCCATAATTTGCTCAAAACAACTGTCAATCGAAATGCTTATGAATTCCCAAAACTATTGTTAAACTAAACTCTCAATCATTTGATTGAATGGAAAGTCATTTTAACAAAACAAAAAAAAGTGTTTTTTAAAATTAGCTGTTTTTGTGCGCAAATCAACTGAAAAGCAAACATAAATTGATTCAACACTTGTTCACAGCTCTTGTAATTTTGATCACATTTTACCAAATTTTATGTTAAATATTGTCTTATTTTATATCGAAATATATATACAAAAAATAAATAAATTTATTAAGCATATAAGTATACGGTTAAAACAAAAATATTGTTATAATTATAATTTTAGATTAAATGAAATATAACTACAATTATATTATATTAATATTATGATTACTTGTGTATAATACAAATTATTTGTTTTAATACAAATAAATCAAACATATGTCACTTTAAGTGAAATTAATTATGTTTTTATTTATATATTCAAACTTTCTATTGAAAGACTATTCAAATACAATACAATAAACTTGTTTTGACAATATTTGTTCATTTTATATTATGTGTGATGTATTTAAAAGCATATATAATTCAAATTTATTTACAAATACTAGTATAATATATTAGACTAATATTAAAGTCTTAACCAAAGTTTTGATAATTTAATTTACTTTACAAAACATGTAATAATATATAATGATTGGAATACAATAAATATTGAATTAATGATTATATCAATTCTTAACACAAACTGCTGCCAAATTATGAAATAAATTAAGCCAAATATACTGGGAATCAGTAGAATAGGACTTAAAATGGCCGAATCCATTCTGGACAATAAGAAAGCACATAATTGAAGTGATATTATCACTATATATAGCAGAACCTCTGCCCAGAATATTGCGCTCCTGTAGGGTAGTGACCAACCTATCAATATATAACTATAAATAATATATACATGAAAATTGCATATTAATATATTCTTACTTTTGAAAATTAATATTAAAAATTGTACTATTACAAAAAACTTTAAATAATACTGAGTTAACAATACTATTATTGAGTGAATTAATGACATTTCTATTAGTCTTGCTGTTAAACCATGGATTCTACTGTATTAATAGACTTCAATTGGTTACCATAGAAATTGGTTTGGCTAAAACTAAAAACAAAATTTCAAATATATTTCCAGAAAACAAAGTACTTATCCTATACTTTATCCTATAATTGAGGATTAAGTTCTAAAATTACATTTAATATTAAAACTGAAATCGTTCAATTTATAAAATAGTTTTACAAAATATTTTAGATCTTGTTTTAAATATTAGTCAAATTATTACTCATGAAAATAGAATATTTAAAATTATCTTTCACTTTTCTTATACTTTATTTTAATTAAAAATATTTACATTTAATAATAAACCTATTTAATTATATTTAACATTAAAATATTTTATAAGGTATGAATGATAATTTGAGTCTATAAGATATAACATTTTTAAAACTACTGTACACTATATACAGTACAGCATATACAGGTATGTACTGTATGTACTGTATGTATTGTATGTATGTAGGTATTACAAAACTTTTAAAACATTATAAATATTTTATACAAAATTATGTATATCAATACTAAATAGTAAATTCATGAATTAATTTTAATTTTCTTATTCTTCTTATTTGATTTAATGAATTTGAAATTTCCATTGCATTATAGTATAAAAATTGTATCATACAACATAAGTATATTGTAAATGTATAATCTAAATTACATTATTTAGATTAGTTACTCTAATGTTTATACAATATTTGTAATAAAGTTTTCTTCATTTCTTATAAATAAAAATAAAATAAAAACGTAAAAATATATTTGTTACAAATTATTAATTAGATAATAATGCTCAAATTTCCCATCATTATGTTATAAGTTATGTAAGTTAGGCTAATAAGTGGTGTGATCAAAAACAAAAAATATGCTAATATTTAATCTTATGTTTATTTACTACCTTACATTATTACATAACATACTTAACACCAATTCAATGAATTTCCTAACTATACAATGTAATAGTGTATTGAATTTTGTGATATAATTATTTAATGGTACATATTCAAATAAAGTTTTTATTCTATAAATTTATTTCAATTCAAAGGTTTTATGACTTAAGTGTACGGGATAAGTTTATTTTGAATCACTGTATAATATACATTTAAATAAAATTAATTTTTATTTTATTTTACAGAAAAATCGTTTATTACAATAAAAATAGTACTGTATATATTAATATTATTTTTAATATTATTATTAATATATATATTTAATTTTCATAGTAATAGTATTAGAAATGCTAAACATTTAGCATTCCATTAAAGTTTTAAAGTTTTAAACTTAATTATTGAAAATGAATCGATAAAAATAGTAATTTTGTTTATTCATAAAAATATTGAGCACTTTTTGCAAAATAAATTGCTTATTAATAAGGAATGAATGGAATATCAAATAAAACATTGACTTCATTGACATCAATGACTTCTTATGGTGGGCTGTCTAAGTGTAACCTAACTATGAAGTAAGAGATCAATAGATATTATGTTAAATAAGATCCAAATTTGCTTATATTTGATAGCATTGAAGGACGAAAACAAGAAAATCCTTATTCACCCGAATTGTGGACTTAATCTTACGAAACGATTTGAAGTGTGAAAATAATATTAACTTTATTTCAATGTTTGGTTAACGAAAGCATTAGTTTTTCTCATGTGAGCTATTATTTGATTTGTCCATCATTTTTGTTTTAATATCAATGCTTTTAAGTTAATTGTGTTTAAAACAAGAATAAGACATAAATGGTATAAAAAGTGTCGAAACGTATTAAGTATATGATTGACGGAAATCTTGATTTATTTTAACTGATTTTATTTGAGTTAATAACTAAAATCAGTGGCATTTCTCCTACGTTTATGTCAATGTCATACACAGAATGTACAGAATCTGCAACACATTCAGACCAAACACATCAACACATCCAGATTGGAGCTCAACGTACAGAGTATTAGGTATTAACGCCAATCACTACAACCACTACACAAATACACTCATATTTTAGACTAATAGGCGCTCCAAACACCAAATCGTAGTCGGCTAACAAAAAACGTAAATTTTTACACATATTTCTAATAAATCTCTTCAAAATCATATAAAAGGTATACGAGTTTTGACACATTATAAAGTTTTAGACCGACTCTACAACCTTACAGTGCAAATCACACCAACACTTTTGCAAAGTAAGTGCTTCTCATTAAAAGTTATAATTTGTTTTCCAATTGTAAAAGTTTTCATAAAATTTTAATTACCAGAAGATCTGAAATAAATAATTGCCATAAAATCACATTTAGATGACTCCAGGAATGTCTTCCATAACTAATTGCAGTAAAATTAGTGCTTTAATCCTACTCTTTGTGTCAATTGCTGTTGCATTTCGTGATCCAATGAATTATATGTATGGATCGCATAAAGTGGACACTCGATCGACCAGACATTACTGCGGGAATAACTTAGTCCGAGCCCTCCATTTCCTATGTGAGAGCTATAATAAAAGAAGTCATCTTCCCATACATTCCTATAGATTATCACAAGGTTTCTATACATTTCATATGCTCTTATAATTGAATAATTTATTAAAATCCAATTGAATGACAGACTCCGAGGACGATATGACACCAGAAGATGATGGCATCGATGGGTCCGAGCATTCATTGAGTTTAATCAAAGTTCTCAATAATAATAATAATATGAAATACTTTCACCGAATGGTCAGAGGAGTAGTGGACGAGTGCTGTCGTCGGTCTTGTTCTACGAGTCAATGTAAGCATCCATTCATTCATTCAATTCTGCATTTCTATAGTTTTCAAACCAAATACTTCAAAATCTCTATCTTTGCCACCACTTCAAGTGAGTGGTTATACTTTTTCCGACAAATCAATTTATCCCTCGACTCAAAAATTTCTTTAAAACTTTCATTCACTTCAATTTATTCTTAACAATATTTTGCTCAAATAGCTAATTTTACTTAAGCTTTAATCGTCGCCCACTATATTAATACTATTCATATGACAGTTAATCACACAGTAATATCACTTAAAAGTTATAAACCATCCTTGTGCTTTATGTTATACAGCTATATGTTTAGCCTTAATACAAGTATAGCACCACATCTACAGTGTAGTACAGTATTAAGAATTGTGTTTTTAAATCCTTTTCTAATGGAGTTATAGAGGATTTGAATGAATATAACTGTATTGAGTGTAATGTATGTAATGATTGTTTGCTCTGAAATGTCTGCATATAGTGTCCCAATACTGTGGAGTGACACGAGTGACCACAACAACTGCCGCCCCTCTAGTCGTCGAGTAGCTGAATGTCATATTTACGAGATTCACATCATTTGTTGCTAATGAAGTTTGGCTATGTTGAGAAAGCCTATGTTATCAAAATTAAATTTTATTCATAAATTAATAATTATTTTATCATTTATTATAATAGAAAACATATTAAAATTTAAGCAAATTAAATAGAACTTATTTATCAAATAAATTAAAGCTAATTAAAAAACAATAAAATTCAATTGTACTGTAACTAATAATAAATTATTCATTTGTATTAAATGGTAAATATATTGACTTTAATAAATAGACAAAATAGTTATAATACAGTTATATTGTTACTGTTAATAGTTAATAATTATTACTGTTAATAGTTAATAATTATTACTGTTAATAGTTAATAATTATTACTGTTAATAGTTAATAATTATTACTGTTAATAGTTAATAATTATTACTGTTACTATTAGTAATAATAGTTATATTGATACTAAACTATAGTCTCCTAAAAGTTAGCTTATGATGGGTTATGGGGAGAGATTCTGGGTATCCATGCATTGATTGATTGAATAATATTCTGTGCGTACAGTGAGTGTTCGTGCAGTTCGTGGTGCCATCTATTGGGGGGATGAGTGCATGACTGGTGTGTGCTATCAATGAAAGCCATATTGGATTTACCCTTAAATTGTCTACAATTGAGAGCCATTTATAAATTAAAACTCCAGTCTATGGACACAAATCATCGATTTTGAAGACATGAGAGTTCACATAAAGGCTTGATTTGAGTGAAATGTCATTCATTATGATCACTCGTACACTGTTTGTAGCCTTAATAGTGAGTCACTGAGCGTTTTGGTCGCTTTTGGCGTTTTCTCACAAAAGCCTTTCATTGCATTGAATTCAAGGTAAGTCTCAAACCTATACTAAAGCCATAGACAACACATTGAACGCATAATTGCCGTCAAATGCCCACCAATTGCTGCAAACGCTCACTAATTGCCACTGTTTTGCCATCAACTCAACCGATTAATTGTCTTTTCCTATCAATTGATGGCATTATGTGTTCAATGGATTCAGTGATGACTACTTGGATGCTGTCATAGATGGAGAAGTGTGTGAATGGTTTGACACAAACTCTCATAAACTAATGTTTGTCACAAACTTATAGGAAATCTGTTTATTATTACTAATATTCATATGAATCCTATATTTTAGCTCTAAATTTGATTTTATCCGCAAATCTCTTGACATTACAGTCAAAATCATTGACACATTTCTTCACTTCTTTATCTCATTTTTTGAGTTTAATTTCACTTTAATCTAACGAATCGTATAATGAATGCGATTCTTAAGGCATATGAGACGCCGGTACCCATCGGGTCCTCCCTATGCTCTCAATGTTTGATACAATGTCTCGTAATTAAAGGAAATTAATATAAAGTCAAATAAAATTACTCTTTTGTAGCCTTTTGTCTGTTATTATCACATATTCTGGACATTAAATGATTGATATATGTGTTGACAGAATCACAGAATCGGTGACCGAAGGGATCGATGGCAGGACGCGGCAGTCGATCCACTCGTCGGGGAAGACCTCCGAAGAACGCAGAGTCTGCCGAACGGTTGGCTGCCCTGAAGAGACCCCGATATCTCTATCCGGGCGCTAATAATGCAGAATTGGATGAAACGTCCAACGCTTCCAACAGTACTAATGCATCAAAATATAAGACCCGATCGAGTGGTCGCCTCAAGAAGAAGAAGTGGGGCGACAGCGACGACAGCGATAACTACGACGAAGACTTGAATGACAGCCAATCGCACATCGAGTCCGACACATACGAGAGCGACGACTTGACACACGACACGGATTTGGATGAACTCGAAGAAGATGTGGATAACGAATCGGCTGAGAGTTCTTCGCAATCGGGTTCTCCCAAAAAGAGGCCACCATTTCGTGCGCCGCGCGTCAAAAGTCCCGTTTTCTTTGAAGACACAGAAGTGGAGGAATTGGTACTTCCGGACAGTTCTGAAGATATACTTCTGAGTAACGAATACCTAATGCAAGCGATTTGTGTTTACGAAGTGTTGCGACATTTCCGGAATATATTACGTTTGACTCCTTTTCGGTTTGAAGACTTTTGTGCCACTCTTATGGTCGACGAACAGAACGGACTTCTCTCTGAAATACATTTACAACTAATCAAAGCCTTATTACGTGAAGACGACTCGTCCAACACGTGGTTCGGACCGCAAGATCTTCGAGATTCGATTAATGTATACTTATTTTTCAATGATTACATCACTTGGCCGGATGTGCTTCGGATCTATTTGTCAGCCGATATGAACAGTAATAGAGTTATACTTAACGAGTGTTTGCGTCAAAATGAATATCCATTCATTCGCGTCGACAAGAAGTTACGGGTTTTGCAGCACTTGTGCGACCAGTTCTTGACGACAACACCGGCCAGAGAGGACTTAGTGAATGAGGGAATCATTAAACACGACGATCACTGCCGCGTCTGTCATAAGTTGGGAGATCTTCTTTGCTGTGAGACCTGTTCAGCAGTATTTCACTTGTCGTGTTTGGATCCGCCACTCGTGGAGGTGCCCAACGAGGAGTGGATCTGCACCGTCTGTAAAGGCAATTATGTGAACGGAGTGACAGATTGTATCTCTGAATACGAGAGAAGTGGCTTTCTTTGTCGACAAGAACCACTCGGTTGGGACCGACACTCTCGCAAGTATTGGTTCCTTTGCCGCAGAATTATTGTCGAGTCTGAAGACGGCTCAAAAACGTGGTATTATTCAACTAAAGCACAGATCGATGAACTCCTTAACACTTTGGACGCCAATCAATACGAAGCAGATCTCTGTAAGAATATTGAAGAGATTATGGAAGATATCGTTAAACAGACAGAACTGACAGAAAAGCTGACAAATTCGGCGAAGGGTTCGCGAAAAAGTTATTTAGAGGTCGATAACGAAAGGTTGGCTAAAATACAGGCTGAGAGGGAAGACAAGAAGAATTGTGAGGAAAGTGATGAGAAAAAAGTGAACGGAATTGAAGACGAAAGCAATGAAACCGACAAAAAAGACTCAGAAAAGGAAGGCGACGAAAGTCCCAAAGCGGGGATTCTTACGCGACTCAAAACCGGTTCAATACAACCAAAGCCTATTAATTTGGATCCATTGAAGAATAAGTTGAATAATAGCGCGAACGGCAAAGACGACGACACGCTTCTGATCCTCAAAGATGGAGAACTGACTCGAGTGGCAAAGAAAAACATTGCGTCCACTGTTCTCAACAGTATTTTATTCAAACTGGGAATGGAGAGTAACTACAAGTCCTATCAAAACCAATTTATCTCAAACGCACTGTCGCTTAATAAACACCAGCACTCGGAGGAAAGGGATAAAAGGAGACAATTGAGTCACAAGTTTAGTCTGACAGCCGCTTCAGACCTGAAATGGCAGGGCGTTATGTTTGGCACCCGTACTCTCATTATTGCATCTTTAAGGCAAACAATACTACAACTGGAGAGTCAAATATCGGTGCCATTCCTGCACCAGAACTGGCCCCTCCATCGGCCCAATTGGCTCAAAGCAGTCAACATGTGCTCCAACGCCAAAGACTTTGCTTTAGCTCTTTGTATATTAGAGTCATCGATGAAACCTGTGCTCTTCAACCCCGCGTGGCTCGAGGCCATGGGCTTCACGTGTCTCCACAGAACCACTTTCATGGATAGGGAGGAACGCAAGAAACTGGAGAAAAGGGAGCGCAGGGATCAGATCGAAGAGCAGGAAAACCTCTACAGGTTTGGAGTAAGCGTTCGATACGTTTTGGGGAAAGTGAAGCACCAAATATGGAAACAAAAGGGTGAGGAATACCGGTTGACTGGAAGGGGTGCCTGGCTTTGGAGGAGTACCACTCGAATCGCACAAGAATTGCCTGAAAAGAACAAACCGTTGAATACAATAGAAATTCCTGAATTACATAAACCAAAGTTATCTCAAATTTCCACTATAAATGTGAGCAAATGTTTAGCAGAAGTTTCTGAGAAAAGATATCTTTACCCAAAAATATACAAAAGATGTAAAGTTTTGGATAATTTATTGGAAAGAAGAGTATTAATGACACAAATTGATGACAAAGTGATTAAAAGCGAAACTAATGTTAAGAATGAAACAGAAGATGAAAAAGAAGTAAATCGCGTGAGTGAAGACGAGAGTCTTATATCTAAGTGTTACTCGTGTTGGTGTCGGTCTGACAATGATTTACCGAATGAACAAAAAACTTGTTATTCGAGTGTTTGTCGATTTGAATCAATTAAACCTAAAGTAGAAATCGATGTGAAGAAAGAAAGCGAAGAAACCGATGGCAAAGAGAGTGTTTCGGGCGATGAATGCCTCGATGCCGACAAAATCGCTGATTGCTGTCAAGTGGTCTCATTAGCCAAAATAGTTAAAGTGAACGGCGTTTTACAAATTGCTAAACGAATTGGTCGAAAGCACGTAAAGGGACAGTTACCTCCCTGTCCACGATTTACTACATCGAAAGGGAAACGAAAATCAATATTAATTTTACCACAATTTGAATTGAAGCGATTGTCTCGAAGTGGGGCTCTTAGGGAAGTGAGTGGTTTCAGCTACACAGCAAAGACCAACCCTTGCATCTGGCCGTACGGTCAGACCCCACGGCCTATATTCCGCACGTCTTGGCTCTATCGGAACCAAAAGATCGCGTCAGTGCACGGCGTGGCCACTCAACTGCGTGTCCTTTGGGCTAACATTCGTTGGGATGACTTGTCGGCCAAACCTCCGCCTTCGGGTGCAAACACAGTGACCACAGAAACTGAGGTCCAAACGAGTGAAATACTCAAACGTAGAGAATTGGCTCCTTTTGGCATAAGATCTGAATATTTGGTTCGAAGAATAATAGTTCCCATCGAACTGCCATCAAAACCTCGAGGTTTGCAGTAAAATAGACTATTATTTCAAAATATGATTTTCACGTTCAATGTATTTTACAGAGAAATCGACACCAATTCGAAGCGGTCTCAGAGAGAGACGTCGGCCCGAATCGCCTCAATTGAGAGGTCCTTCAGTGACAGAGTGTTGGGTTCCTGAAGAAGAGCTCGAATTGTGGGAAATCAGACAATTCGGTGAGAAAGTGGAGAAACAGCAACAGATGGCTAAACAGAAGGCAGTCGAAGCGGCGCAGAGGGAGAACTCGGAGAAGATTAGGAAACAAATGGAGGAACAGCTCAAAAAACAAAGAGAAGCTCTCCATCAGAAACGTATGGCAGAGGCGGCGGCCAAAGCAGCTTCACCTCAGACTCCAGTTTCTACGTTAACCCCAACCGCTACGAGGTTTACGAGTATTATACAGAATAAGGGAATGAAAAGAATATTCACGTCTCGCGGCATAACTCCTGTCATTGGAACAAATGTCACCCCAAGAACTCCGGCACCGAATTCATTTGCAACGGTACGCACTCCTGGAGGTCAGACATTTAGGATACCACTGTCTGTACTTCAGGGCAAAACTGCTGGACAACAGATAGTTATACGCAATTCCAATGCTGTGACAACCCCTCAAACCACTACAATAACTACTCAACCAATCACTCGACCCTCAACTCCGACCACAACTTATATTGTAAGGACGCCAACGGGTCAGACATCGATGCGACCTATCATTCTGAATCAGGTCAGACCAACATTAGGTCAGCCCGGAGTACAAACGACACCGCAATCACAACCAGTAATTCAACGTCAGGTTCAACTTCCGATTCGTTTCCCCGACGGCCGGATGCAGGTCTTGCAGATACCGTTGTCCGCCATCGCTGGCAATCAACCCATTCAGATAGCAATCAACACACAGTCAACAACCGGCGCTCCGACCGTTTTGTCAAATTCTATACAAATTATGTCGTCCAACAACAGTCCCACTACTATTGTGACGGCACCACAACCCACTCCCCAACAAACCCCACAGATCCGCATCATTACCAGTAATAGTACGACAGGAGGACAACCAGTTGTCGCCAAATTAGTACAAATGCGTCCTCAACAACAACAGTCGGTCCAACAGATCACACAAACCCCTCTTCAATTGCCAGCCAATCAACAAATCAATCAGATATTGACTCAACAAATACAGTCCGGAAAATTTCAGGTCAAACTTAATGCCAACCAAACGGTCACTACATTACAAACACCACAAAGACCTACGATTACAGCACAACTCCCACAGCCGACCATCAGAGGTCAGACACCTATTGTTGCCACCGTTAGGATTGAATCCAAAGCTAACCAATCATTAACGCCATCGACTATTCGGACGCCGGACGCGACCCTTACTGTGACGCCGACTGTAAGTGTGGTTCAAAATACCCCAAAGACTCCGAGTCCTCAAACTCCCGCTTTAAATGCAAGCAAAGAGTTGACTCCATGTGTATCGACACCAATGAATTCACAACAGTTTGTTCTGACGTCTGAAATAACTCAAGAAATAGTACGACAGGCGCTCATGAATCCAAATGTGGCCCCAGAGATACAGCAGAAGTTAATGGCACTGCAGAGACACCATCAGGAACAGGACCTAAAAGACCCCATCAAAGCAAAGCCCAATACAGGGGTCACTCCTGTGGTGAGCGGTCGCACGAAATCTGCGTCCACTTCTCGGTCTGTTTCGCGATATAAACCGAAAGCCAAACCACAAATTCAAATGACTGAAGAACAGAAGAAGGAGTCGGATATAATGAGCGCTTGTAATGCAGTGATTAAGTCGTTGTTGGATAAGATCGACAAAGAGGACAAACCCAAAGGACAGTCCAGAAGCGCTAATAAGAAACAGCGAACCAAAGAGTCGACTGTTGAGAGACGTCATCGACAGAACTCAAACAGACTTCAAGTCCTTCTCTTTAAACAAACAGAACTCTTGAAGAAAGATATTATCAAAAGAAGAGCTCTTTTAGAGAAAAACTTGAAAATTGAAATTAGAGATGAATTGAATACAGTGTTGAGTCCACAAAACTTTTCAAACAAATCGACCATTAATTCAATGAATGGTTCGCCAAAGAAAGTCAACTCACCCGTCAAAAGGAAGCCTAACGTTGCGAACAATAACTTAGTTATTGACGAAGACGTGGATAACAGCGACGAAATAAGGCCACCGAAGCAGAAGAGATCGCGTCTCAACTCTCCTCCCTCTTCTCGGTCTCCTAAGAAGCAGAGGACTTCTCCCGGCAGTCATAACTCAAGGCCTAAAAACATGAAATCAAACGCTTTGTATTGCGTTTGTCGGAAACCGTACGACTCGTCCAAGTTTATGGTCGGGTGTGACATCTGCTCGAACTGGTATCACGTGGACTGCGTTGGACTCACCGAAATACAGGCCAAGAAAGCCGATCAATACATTTGTCCCAATTGTGACAAAATGAAAGCTAAGAACAAAGAGCTGTATTGTTTGTGTCGGCGTCCGTACGACGAGAGCCAGTTCTACATCTGCTGTGATCGGTGTCAGGACTGGTTTCACGGCCGGTGTGTCGGTGTCTTGCAGTCGGAGGCGCAGGCCATTGATGAGTACGTCTGTCCCAACTGCCAGAGCGACTCGCAAATCAATTTCGCGAATCTTAAGCAACTGAACGCAAAGGACTTCGAAAATCTCAGGAAATTACTCAAATCTCTTCAGGTTATCATCTCTTATGATCTTTTCGTGTAAATTGAAATGATTTATATATGAATCCCATTACAGACGCACAGAAATTCGTGGCCATTCTTGGCACCTGTCGATCCCAAAGAGGTTCCCGATTATCATCAAGTGATTAAAGAGCCAATGGGTTAGACTTCTATTGATTTTCATTGAAATACAAATAAAAAATAATTTTATAACTTGTGAATAGATCTGAAGACAGTAGAGAAGCGTCTGACGGACACGAGTTATGACTCTTTGGCCCAATTTATAGGCGATATCACGAAAATCTTCGACAACTGTCGCTACTATAACGCCCGCAACTCTCCCTTCTATCAGTGCGCAGAAGTACTCGAAGGCTTCTTTGTGGCCAAAATCAAGTCATTCCGAGAGGCCATGAAGTGATCACCACTTCTTAGTCTCCATTTAGTTCTTCACATCAATGCTAACACATATGACAGACATCTGTATATAAGTTAACCACAAAATTGCCACAAAAACGCATTTACTTATAAAATAGTTTTCTATTAACTCATTGTTTGTAATAAATTTAATTTATAATTCACTCAAATTGTAATCAATTTTAGTTTGTATTTTTTCCAAAAACTTTTCATTTCTTTGTAATGTATTGACACTTGGATTCAATGATTGTTGAAATTTAATAAAATTAATTTATTTTATTTGTGAGACTAAGGAGTGATTTGTAGGAAATGAGTGGAAAGGGATGCAAAGAGAGGATAGTTGTGTGAATTATGCGACCGTTGTTTCAATCTTATGCCTTACGTTCAATTAAATGAGGCAACAGTTTGTTAAAACATTGATTAGATAATTGAATGTAGGGGTTATGAGGTTATCATGTGTGCTACAATTATTAGCTATCACAATTTAAATAATTCTAATTGCCTTACAGTATATGAGTGAGTATGAAATGTCCTATAATATTGTACAGTAGATGTGAACAATATATTATATTACTACATTATAGGGCCTATACTACTGTACCGTATAAGAACCTGTTAAAATGTACCCAGGTTTGTACCGTAAATTGTGATTAGATATGAAAGTGCGTTCAGAGATTATTCTGAATATCTAAATTTTATTGTCCAGTACCACAGGTTCGGTCGTAGTGACCACTTTTATCGGCAATTTTTAACGTTGTCTAGATTTTAAATATAACACATGAAAATGACCTTGATGGCATTTCGTGAAAATCGTATTAACTCATGTAATTATTACATTGTAATACAGTAATGCTGATAAAGCCAGTAAAGTGTGTGAATATATGAAAAATGACAATATTTCGGTTAAATTTTGAGTTATTCATGATATTATTTGTTTAATATTCTGTGTAAACCTTTACCAAATCGAAAATACAGTAATGCTGATAAAGCCAGTAAAGTGTGTGAATATATGAAAAATGACAATATTTCGGTTAAATTTTGAGTTATTCATGATATTATTTGTTTAATATTCTGTGTAAACCTTTACCAAATCGACATTTAGATGATTCATATGCCTACATTTAGATAAGATAAGCCAATAAAAGGGTAGACTTTGTCAAAATTCAATAAATTAATGTAAATTAGATACGAAGACCCGTTTAATGATGATTTAAATATCAATTTTATATTTTCCTGTGATCTCGGTTTTCGCCGCAGTGACCACTTTTATCTGCAATTTTTGATTTTAAATGTCTATATTTATTATACTGTGTCAATTTTGTATATAACGTTACTCAGAATACGAAAATATATATAATATTTTTAAAATTTTAACTCAAGATTTGATCGGAATATTGTGATTTTCATATTTTAAAATGATAAAGTGGTCTTACTTGTATCATAATTATTACTTAAGATAATTACAGTATATATTTTCATACAAACAATCGTATTGTGTCTAAAATTACCTACAAAATTGATACAAATACCTGTATATATTATATAACAAGCCTACTTGTAATATGAAAAATTTGCCGGTAAAAGTGGTAACTGAACCGAACTCAAGTTTATAGGTTTTCATAAATAAGATTCTGGAATCCTCATTGAATGGACTTTTATATGAAGTCATAATTACCTAGTGGCAAGTTTAGACAACTTAATGCACTCACTCCATGCATTAGTCAGGCTCAAACCATTTTGTATTGAATGCTTCCAAATGTACGCATTTATATTCTAACGATTAATGTCTACGAATTAAACATCATTTACTAAATAACAATTACCGACAATTGTATCTCAATGAATAAAACATAATAAATAAATGCACATAAATTGTCAATCAATACCCGCAGTGTTCCCACGGGTTATAGAGCCCACGTGTGCACCACTAGTATAGACCTATAAAATGGAGAATACATTGAATATCAATGAATAAAACATAATAAATAAATGCACATAAATTGTCAATCAATACCCGCAGTGTTCCCACGGGTTATAGAGCCCACGTGTGCACCACTAGTATAGACCTATAAAATGGAGAATACATTGAATGCTATGAATACAGAGTTATATATGGATTACAATTGCATTTAATTGACAATTATATGAATACATTGACTATATAAGCACACAATACATATGCCATACATTCACACCATTCGGACCAATGATTACACAATTGAGGCATTGCTTAAGACTAACATTTGACACCAATTAACACATTCACAACCAATTAGTTCAATGCAAACCAATTGATCCCAAGAGAGCACACATATGACAGACTATTATCACTTATGTTATGCAATGAAAGACAAATGAATTGATTAAAAATTGTTTTATTGAAATGAAAGAAATGGTTTTGAGATTAATAATGGATTTAATGGTGAATCACAAATCAAATTGAATGAAATAATATACTAATTATGATATTCATTGAAATTAAAAGAATCGCAAATACTCTTCAGTTATATTATCCGCAAATGAGAAGTGTATGAGAAGTGTATGAGTGGTGTCATTACAGTTGATCACCGAATCTGATCCAAAGCCTTGCGTTATCGGCGACGTTTGGTTCGCTTAGCAGAGGCCTTCTTCGCCGGCGACTTGCGTTTGGCCGGAGCCTTGCGGGCGGATCCGCGACGAGAAGTGTTGGCCTTCGGCTCGTCCTCCTCGTCGTCATTATCATCGTTGCCATTGGCGTCGTTATTGGCGGCCTTAAACTCTTTCAAGAGCTTCGCGCAGTTCAAGTTCTTCTCCACCTCCCACGTGGGCGCCCACCGAACCAAGTACTCCACTGTCTTGCCCTTCTTCCGCGAGTCCAATATCTCCTCCACGTCATAGGAGGCCATTGTTATCGATATATTCT